TCATTCTACAAGTTGCCAAATACTTTCAGTGTTTCACAATATTAGTAAAATTAATACTCAACCTCAAAAACTTTTGATTTGCTCGTTGATCATAGAAACCATAAAAAGACATGAAAACTATTCTCTAAATGTCTTTCATGTAACAAAATGTTGTCTTCACCATAACTGTCTTCTATCACATCAATCTGGAGATTTCACAATGAGAAGGAAATATAACTATAACTATATCTAGTGGTACCCCTGTTTGGTAAACCTTTGTTTACTTATGATAGTGAACTAGGCTGACCAAAACTTTGTTTCACATTGTCAGTACTGTAACGTCTTAGGTCTTTCCTGTAACAGTTATAATGTAGGTCATAGGTAACATTCTTCATATTAATCATTTATAAATATAAATATCACAAACATGTGCATTGTTATTCAAAGTAACACATTTTCTATTACAGTAAAAATGGGGAAACTGCTTTGTGATCTAAAATGTCATTGTATGGTAATTTGTTCTGTCATGTAACAAACTTTTGTCCTTACCTGCTTATTGTAACAGATTTTAGAATTTATCCTTTAAAAAGTTGGAGTAAATTTATAAATATCACTGAAAAAGATAATGACTGGTATTACTTTTGCAAGCATTATTATATACATGAGAAACATTTAAGATAATCTTTACCACTCTTTTCATACTGATGATATGAATTTGCAATGTCTTTTCTGTAACAAATATAGTCAATCCTGTAACATGCATGTCTTTCCTATAATGCACTCATTTAAAAAATATATATATCTAAATATGTCTTTAGTTTCCACAATGAGACATAAGTTGATCATGTCCTTCATTCTCACTTCAAGTTTAATATACAAAAAAAATGAAAAAATAAATATGTTTTGTATGTGCTTTTTGCATTTTCATGAATTTCAAACCAAAATAATTCACACAAACATTGTTATGGGAAAGACAAGCCAAGTTTCAGTTGCCATGGTAACTGGTTATTCCTCTTTCTTAAAAGCATCATTAAGACTTCCATTTGATGTTACTGACAGCTTCAGATATTTGTTACTCCATTTAAACAAAAACAAAGATATTATATCAACCATTGGATTTTGTAAATTTGGAAACTCAAAAAGTGACATCTTTTGAAAATGATTCATAAATTGGCATCAGTCCAAACTAGTACAAGCACACACACGCGCACGCACGACGCTATATAAGTGCAATAATCTGGGCGGGACGTTAACCCTCTGGATGCCGAGGTTTTTTTCTGACGCACATTTTGCTTAGATCGGAAAGATGAAGGTTGTGCGAGAATTGGGCTCACCCTGCACTGGATCTACCTCTGGCTATAAAATTACGCAGAGGTGGAGAATATTAAATTTCCTATTTGATGTTGTAAAGGTAACTGCAAATATTGAACCGGTTTAAAAAAAATACACTTCTAAGTGTTGTCCGACAATTTATTCTGCGTTGAAAAACAGTAAATTTCCCCGCTTTTTATCGTACACCGATAAAAGTACTATGCGACAATTTTTTTATTAAGAAGCTTTACGGAAACTGTGAGCGAACAAAATACTGCCTAATATCTGAACGACATAACTATAGATCAAATGGAATTATATACGTATGTATAACGACATACATTCAATGCCAAAAATAGCATGCCGTAAATGATGAAAACTGATTTTGCTCTATGACGTCAAAAGGCGACAGCGAGGTTACACACATACAAACAAAAAGGGGGTATAACTCCACTATGCTTAGCACTAGTTTATTGTCACTCAGGTCACTTGGTGAGAAATAGCTGTGGGTAAGGATAATATATTTTCATGGTGTTTTGTTCACGAGGAATCAATGTATTCCAACACAAATATCTATAAAGAAACTGTATACCTTTAGTTATAAAAAAACACCCATAAGAAATGATGAAATCGTACTTCATCAAAAAGAGGTACCGTATTCGACATAATAAGCGCCCACGGCGATATTTATTAATATATTGGCTTGTGAACAATCCCAATTAGCACCCCTTCCGATTGATCAATGTACACAAGACTTATTTATTCGTGTATAATACGCACTCGTGTGTTATATGCACCCTTAATTATGGGCAATAAATTCTGGAAAAATAAATATGTCGTATATAAACATTTCAGGCTGTCAGCATAAACCAGGAAATTTATCTTTCAACTCTGTTTTTTTCCACCAAAATACCATTCTAATAAGAGCTCCTATTTCTAATTTTGAGAGCCCCCTGGGCGCTTATTACGTCGAATACGGTAATAGAGAAATGGATGGCCCTATCTGACTTATAACTTAGTCCTTAGATTCCAACATTCTCCTGAATGTGTATGTGTAATTTGACTAATGTTGCACCATTAATAATGGAACACTAGCCTTATCATCAAATGTAATGAAATACCCCCAAAATAACACCATTCTATTTGACGTCATATATGTCTTTGATAACATCGGAGATAGACGACACTGGTATTTTGATTAATATATATATCTCCCTTAATTTTCGTTCATGGTATGGAAAATCTCGATGTGTAAAACGGAATTTGACGCCTTTTCGACACAACATAAAATGACTGCTTTCACCATTTTCACCAAGTAAATAATGTCTTGAACATGTAAACAATTAGATAGTTTATCGTGTATCTTAATTGGACAAGACACACACCTGTTTGGCATCAATGTACGTAATGAACTACCCGAAAGAATATTTCAAAATAACCAAAATTATATTCAATATTGGACATATATTTGTTCATTACTATGTTATTATAGTTATTATCTTCATCTCGTCTCAGAATTACACAATAAAAGATGCGAAGAAAGCTCTATTGGTATAGAATTATCAGGATAATCGTATAAGGTTGAACCAACGGGGTACCCGGCATGAATTTTATTTTTATACATTTTACAATTCCTGGAGAAATAAAGTAAACAGTTTAACCTCCTGTGATCACAATATTGAAAAAAGAATGAACCCATTGATTATATAATACAAAACGAGAGGGATAATTCGTAAATTGTTTGTGACTAACGCGCACCTGGCGAATCTTAGATATCACTGTTCTGTGTATCAAACGACATAAAAAACAATTCCAAGACCAAGACAATTCTTTCAGAGATGTGTGCATATATCTTAACGAAAAATATTGTCCATTTTCTTAAAGTAATATATTCAGTTTTAGTGGTAAAATAAAATGAAACGGCTATTCATGGACATTGGTTATAGAAACTTATAATATTGACTATTACACATCTCAAGAAATACGTACATGCTGCAGTTACATTTACCCTTCATCTTGTAACACTTGTCCAAAGGAAATAAATACCGTATTCGACACTATAAATCTATCAATTGTTATGTAAACAATGTTCAAACAAACAGGAGTATATTAAAGGTTCGTTCATACATGTTGTGGCCTATATTTACGCATGATATCATCTTGAACATTGACAAAGTGAAATTAATTGTGTGAAAAAAATGCAAAAAGATATGCAAAATCTACATCAACACTGAAACTGTAAACAGCATGATACAATGATCGTGTGCATTCTCATTCAAGGACCTTCACCTCAAAGAAATTACCAAATATGTACAACAATGTTGATGTATGACATCACTACCTGTGACTGACTGTACGCGGGATTTTACGGGGGGACCTTTGTTGATTCAGGGATCATATAGACATAAATGTGACATGGAAGTAATCAGAAACATTCTGACAATCTATGTACTGTTGTTTGTTGTTATTATTTTCATTAAAACAAACCGAAATAGTCAGAAATCCCGATAAATACTGTTGTCGCTGTGTGTGATTTTGCGTCAGTCATGGCGTCACACAGAACGGTAACTTTGACAATTTCTGTTGAAAATATCAAATCATTGCAATGTATCTATTTTAAATTCCCTAATTCTTCCTACGATTCTCTTCCCATGCATATTCTGAAAATACTGAGCCAATATCTTTAACGAATAGACGAATGGATAGCTCAAAATAGGAGAAAATGCTACACTGTGTAAAATCTGTATTTTGCTTTGTTTACATTTCAAACAAGTGCAGTTTTTCAAGCACAGCGTTCATTTTCACATCTAACTTATTTTGCTTGATTGCATCCAGCCACTTTGTATTGGTGACAAAGACCATTGGTAATTTGATTCTAAAATGTATGAGGAATTCAAGGATGTGTGTATCACAGCTAAGTTTGAAATATACATGATGTTACAGGCGCCTCATAACCGGTGTTACTGAAACGTTATTTTGTAAACACTATCCAATATGGCGGAAAGTTCACTTCGGCATTCGTGTTTGCGTATTTTCCAAAACATTCTAAACGATTCTAGGGTTATCGGAGACATTTTGGAATGATCATTGGTGATTTCATAAAAGACAGATACCCGTTATCACTAATATGCTCTTTTTGAAATTCATTTCTCTGAGTAAATAACCGAAATTTAGATTTCAAAACAAGCTGTAAATAATGAGGTGAGTGGTGATTTAGTAATGTGTAAAAAATGGCAACACTTACTATGTACCTAATTTTCAGAGGTCATTTTCAGTACTTTTGCTTGGCCTAAAATGCCAGTGGATGATATCACAGAACAGGGAATTTCCCACCTTATTCAAAACTGTGAAGTGTATCTGTGTGGGTGATGTTTTCTGAATTTTATTCGACTTCAAAGTGAGGGTTGTAGAGGAGGGACATATATATGTCCCTGTGGCATCTAGGGGGTTAAACCCAATTTCACCTCACCTCACTATGTTTCTTTAACTCTGGGGTAGCTGAATTTGCATGGCTGAATTTGCATGGCTTAACAAAGCTCAACTATACAATCTATTCGATGTGATATTCGCGAAGCATAATCACATCATGCAAAGACTGACCTACCGACTGCATTCACTTGTTTGCCTGGCCAGACTGGCATTCAATCAAATAAGGTCACCTGTTAGCAGCCGCACAGCAATCACCAAGCACGCACCTGACATGCACTTACGTTTCTTTCTGTGTCTTTGGTACCGATGATGAAAACCTGTTCTTCTGATCATGGCTTCTATTAAATTTGTAACGAAAGCTTGGCACTGTCAAACACGACGTGTGATTAGTGAAAGCAAATTTTGGGATGATACATCGGACTACCCTTACTGTCAGGCCTGCCATCTCGCACTGGACTTCAGACTCAACTGCTGGTGATTACAAAACTTGGAATATCTCCGTCGTTTGCACGTAAAAGATACAGAGACGCAAAACACATAGCTGGCTCGCGATTATTATATTTAGTTTATACAACTGACGTTAGTTGACTTTGGATATATGTTTAAGCAAGATCTTCAATTTCTTGACTAACTATTAGGAACCTATTTCGTTTTAAATTAAGTGTTCGTTTCAATCTGAACTGTCTTGTTTGTTCGTAATATCCTCGGAATCAACAGGTCTCTTGTACTTTATTACTGTTCTTTATCACTGTCATGCCTTTCGCATCTGTCTATATATGATACCCATTGTCCCGCATGACAAGAGGTGGACACGAATGATCTCCGGACAACTTTCTGTGTCAGTTGATATGAGAAATCTTGTCGAGATGCGAAATATTCCACAAATGGAGAACGCCCGACAGATTGGCACTTTGATCACTTTTGTACTCAACTTAGATCTATTCAGTAATATTTTGCCAGAATTAAACAAAAATAAATCATGTCCACGCCTCTTTCAATGTTATGTTATTGGAAATTATTTATGTCATAAAGTCGATTGTGGGAACTGGCTAAAACGGTACTGCCTCAAATCGATCTGGCGAAAAAGGCACCGATTCGACCAAGACGGCGCCATGTAGAGATCTACAGCTTACGAAAGATGCCCTCGTTAGATAATATTTATTACAACTCCTGTATTTCCAAATGTATCTAATAAACGAAAGCAGGTTATATACTTTTTCTTCAGAATACATGAATTGTATTATAACGGTATCTGGTGAGATTAAGTGAAATGGGGTTTAACGTCGCGTCAAAGATAATTGCACTTATGTGTGTACGTGTGTGTGTGTGTGTGTGTGTGTGTGTGTGTGTAGCTGCTTGTACTAGTTCGGACTGATGCCGATTTATAGCGCTAATCTACTGAGATACCATGCCGCAGTTTAACATGAATACCCCACTCAGACACTGACACCAAGCCGCCCAGTCCTTGTTTTAGCCCCATAGTGCCAAGCGCCAGACAGGGTAACAACAAGTACCATCTTTGAACGTCTTGTATGGTATGACGCGGCCCGTTATCGAACCCCGGACATCCCGCTCTCCGGGCGGACGATCTACCACTAGACCGAGGTGACGTTCCCAAACGATATCTAACGGGAACGAATGCAGTAAAAACGTTTCCTCCTCACTTAAGGTAATTTGGATACAGATGTATCTAAGAAATCAGTCTGCAAACCTGCCAGTAAATCTGATATGCCTCGCGGTGTTAGTAGCAAGACGGGGCTCCCAAACCCTCCCGCCGAGGACAGGGTAGACTGACTATAGTCTATTAAAACTTTCATTACACAATACAATTCTCTCCCCTATAATTAAAACAATAAATGTTTCTGAAGCTGATTTCTGGCTAGAGATGCTTTTATATAAATCTAGACTCGTTTTGTTTTTCTAAAATACATACACAAAAAGAAAAATGTTAAGCACACCCCTATTTCTGAACCATGACAAATGGCAAAAATCGTGGCATGGGATGACTGACCACAGGAGCTGGGCGATACCAATGTCATCGGCTAAAACAAACATTTGACAACAAATAAAGAAGATATTGGTGAGTTGTGATTGAAATTTACTGACAAAAACTTCATGGTAACACAGGTACTGTGTGTGATCTTAGACAATACCTAAAGAAAAGTATGGAGCTGCAGGATTAAGTAAACGAGTTACGTTTGATGTTTCATGTGAAAATGTTCCTTCAAGTCTCTACTTGACATGACACGTGAAACAGATCAGTAGCGGGTATAACCGCCACGTGCCCGGATGACGCATTCCACCCTACGTCTCATGCCTCCGTTGCATCTGTTGATGGGTCAACAACAACCACTCCTGATGCAATGCTGCTTCCGATTGTAAATCTTGTACGGGAGGATTTCGTGCCTGTATGCGCCGCCCCAGAATATCCCAAACATGTTCAAGGGGGTTCAAATCTGGGCTCATTGCTGGCCAGGGTAGAGTCGTTATTGCATTTGCCCTCAAGTTATCCACGACTGCATGCGAACGATGAGGCCTGGCATTGTCATCTATGTACTGAGGACGAGTAGCAAAGGGGGGTTTTCAAAATGAGGAACGATGACTGGCCTCAAAACGTCCTGGATGTACTGAGCCCCTGTTAAGTTGCCCCTTATTGTGACCAAATCCTACCTGCAATCAGGAGAGATACACCCCAAACCATTACCGATCCCCCGCCGTATGCAATAGTCGGTTTGATGTTCCTGGGGGTGTAGGCCGTGTTCCGGTGACTTCAAACTCTCGTTCTTCCATCAGTGACGTGGAGCAGAAAGCGACTTTCGTCTGACCAATGGATCCGTCTCCAAGTTCTCAGATTCCAGTTCTGTCGTGCAATACACCATGCTTAAACGAGCAGCATTGTGGTGATCTATCTACAAGGGACGCTTTATGACTCGTCTATAGCCCTCAATCCTGCTGCTTTCAGCCGGTTCCTGACGGTTCTGGTGCTGAAACGACGATTGGGAAACCACAGCTGTTTCAGACGAGTGCTTGTTAAAAAGGGTTCCGGGCGTATGAGACGAAGAAGGCCCCTGTCTTCGCGATGTGTCGTCACAGGATGTCTTCCGGATCTGGGACGGTCCTGTTCATCACCGGTCTGAGCATGTTTCTCGACTAAACGGCTTACGACAGTGTGATGATACCCAAAATCCGACGAACGGCATTACAAGACATTCCTGCGTTATGCATGCCGATTATTTGCCATCTTGTGGCGTTTGATAATCGCCTTCGTACCATGGTCACACAATGTCATCGAATAACTGTTTAAAACTGAGTTTAAGAAAGCAATTTTAACGTTTGGATATACTGCTTTCAGAGATACTCGAGGGTAGCATGCTTTAAGGGCATACCATGCATGGCACATGAGCTTTCGTCACGCATGACTGATTACACCATCTCTTACAACTTTTTTCTTTGTGTATAAATTCCACAGTCACAGGACTAGGGACAGGGCCAAGTCCGCCTTAATATTTTCTTTAGTTGCGGTATAGGGTGTTATATTAGGTTATCAGAAATATAGTGGGCGAGTAGTTCTGCTCTCACTTTGAGGCATAATATATGCAATATATCTAATATATATCTAAGACAGGGCTTAAGCAGGAAGACTATACAAAGGTATCAAAGAAGTCTGTATAGACTCCATGATTTAAGTCACCAATTAACAGCTGGACTCACACAGCATGCGTATGTCTAACAGGGGGCGATCAATCTCATTAAAATCAGATCTTTGTTTTCGCTACCGCTAAACAAAGATCTGAGGACATCCCATAACGGGTCACGTCAGAACGACCTTTCGAGAACTTTAACCGACCATTGAAATGACTGACAAGAAATCGACATTAGCCAATCAGAAGGCAGCTTTCTCGAGCTTTACGACACAAGTTTCAAACTGTCGACTACGCTTCGAAACATATTTTGACGTATTCTCGATTAAAAAAATTAAAACTTATAAAAAGAACATTCTGGAATGGCTTATAGATAGCCTAGATTGTATGGATATAATTAAAAAAAAACGTAACTGTCGTTCGGAATACCCTCTGTTAATTTTTTCGACGTTGGATGATCAGAAAAACACATTCCGTCCGTCACTTTCATGATCTGGTAAGCGACGCTCTGATTGGTTGGATAAAAGGTCGTTCTGACGTGACCCGTAATGGGATGTCCTCAGATCTTTGTTTAGCGATAGCGAGAATTAAAATCTGATTTTAATGAGATTGAGGAGGCGATACACAAGTTATTGTGCAGCACTGAAAGTAACTTGTTAGTTCAAATACACAGCTGGCCCATTTAAATACACAGAGGCTATTACAAATCTACCAGGCCAATAATGCCACGTCAGTCTACATCGTCTAACAGACATCGATCAAACTACCTGTTACCTACCCAGCTTCTGCATGCACTCTCTTTGAACTATCATCGTGGACCCGACGCTTTGTATCGCAACAAAACGTGGTCGTAGGAGTAAGTAGCCTCTTTCACCCGAAGCCGCAAGACAAGGCTATTGAATGTGCTTTTACCAAACTTTAATCCATACCACGGTTTAGCATTATAACTAACTTAACTGATAAAACGATAACGGTCCAAATGGTTTAAGGTTACCGTCCAAAAGTAACTAAAACTCGCGGGAAATTAACATCTTATATACTAACGCAATATCGATAATAGGGCACATGTACACTCCCTCAATCTGGAACCCCGCCAGAAACAACTTTAGTGCAGGTACACCGCATCTGGTGGACAACCTTATGGGTAAAGAGCTCCTGTCGTCTGCGTGAGTGAGTACAGAAACGTCTAGTGCATGAGTCTCCAGTACTGTGGCTGCTGCAGCCACGGCGACCATAAAAAAATATTTTTTTATCCGGGAGAAAATATGATGGTGCTAATGGTTCAGATGGTTCCTCAATGGAAACAGACAGGTCAGTTCCACTTTGCGAAGGATATGGATTTCTTATATACTGAACAACAAAAGTTCCTCTTATGTTGAATAAGATTTAATGCAAAGTTATGTTTTTTACCAAATCTGAAACAATTTCGGTTTGCAACAGATAAAAGACTCCTGTAAGTGTTTAAATGGTTTAATTTGCCATACTGACTTCAGAAAATTCGTGATTTCATATAAAAAAAAACATGAACATGCCAAAATGTCAATTTTTCAAATCAATAGCGTGTGTGTCAAGCTCTGGTTGCGATGCAAGCAACACATCTTCGTCTCATGGAATGGACCAAGCGTCGCACAAAGTCCTGTGACATATCTGTCCTTATCTGCTGGAGCATGTTTCGAAGTTCCTGGGGTGTCTGTGGAACACGTGGTTGACGTCGAAGGCGCCGATCCATCTCATCCCACATGTGCTCGAATGGTGAGAGATCAGGGGAGCGAGCCGGCGAGGGGATGACATTCACGTTGTTTTGTTAAAGAGAATCCTGAACAAGTCGAGCAATATGAGGCCG